TCCTTTTCTGTTTGGTCCCCATCTGGTGTTTTCCCCAACTTTATTGATTCTGCTGCCATAAAAGCTTTTCGAAGTCTGTGTTCAAAAGATTTATGCCCACAGCTCACTTAAGACCCCAGGTTAAGTGCCAGTATATCGACGTCTCCAGCGCGGACTACGTGGTCACGGGCTACCGAGGTGGACGTTGAAGTGTCAGTGAGGATTTAGTGCCTTGTGGTCTGCTGCGCGTAGAGGAGGCCTATATATCACTCCTGATAGACACGTTGTTTGAGTTAAAGTGAAACAGCACCACTTGGAGCCTGGGAATCGGCTAACCACTCTGTCATTCACCCCTAACCTATTTTCAGGTGCACGCTAGTGTACATGATCACTCTTCCGCCTTCTTTGAACTGACCTTCCCTTCGGAACAGAGCCGAGGTGGGCAAATATATTTCCCGGTCCGCTATCTAATGAGAGCCACGCTTTCGTAATATAAGCCATATCTCCATGCAGATGGTACCACACTGTTCTAAGCTCCAGTAGCTTACATTTAAGATCCCTTACACTACCGCAGAACCATGTCAGGAGGATTCGTTCTGGGCTTAGTAGGATATGGAAACCTGCGCAGAGGCCAGTGGAATTTTACACTAGATTCTGACTACTAGCCCTCGTTGAACCGGCAAGAGTCCGTACTAGGTCCCTCATGGCATCCTGGTTTTGGCTTCACGGTGGTGTCCACCGTGAGCCCACAGGCATTAATTCACGGGATAGTTCTATCGTGACTAGTACTGTCTGCCACGTGCTCAGAGGTTACCACCTATCTTCCAGCCTAGTAGGCCGTGGTTTAATCTCATAACATCGCACAGCATCTCCTATCCGATCTTTTACATGGCGCCATGAGATAGGGGCTTGTGTAAGTGATGCCTTGGAGTCGAGGTGTACTGTTGGCAACCTTGGTGAGGAGATGCTCCGCAGGTGAGTAGGTCTTAGTAATCCACTTGCACTGCAGACAAGTTTTCTAATACCACTTTTCCCGCTAGCTATCCCCGCCGCTGGACATCATGGAGGCCATAATCACATTTTGTGGATCCACTCACCAGTTCGGGCATTCTATGCACCACCGTGGTGGTAGCCCTGCGCGGATCGCTAGGTGTAGACTTCCTCCCCGCCTCTCTGATGACCCACCGTCCGTCTGGCTTCATTCTCATGATGTAGGAGCCTGCGACGTCTGACCGGCGCGACAGCAGTAGTACGTCCCCTGACTATTTTGTTACCAACGGCACCCTAAGAGGTGGCGGCTCATCTCAAGTGCTCCACTTCCTCAGGAGGGATGGCGTCGACTAATTGCAATGGGTTCCGTTCCTGGCTTCCTGCAATACTCGCCTCATTTCCCCCTGTCGGACTGCTCCCCTCTTCTGAGATTGAGTCGGTTGGTAAGGAAACTTTGAAAAAAGCGATGGAGTCCGTTTCCTTTTCCTGTGGGTGCAGGGTGCTGGGTTTGGTAGCCAGTGCTTTCGGTCTACCTCTTCTCCCAGCTACGTCCGTCCAAGTATCCCTGATACAACCTATTTCTTCAGGTTGTTCAGTTCCGCTGGACCATCTGAATTGCATCGATACAAGTGACGACTTCGTTGGTGCCCCGCTTGAAGTGGGAACTGGTAGTTTCCTATGTGTAGGGGTGTCACCCTTGCACGCCTGTGGAGTCTGCGCAGATTCTGTCGGGGAGATTGCGGGGGCCCATGCTTGTAATGTCTTGGGCTGTACCAGGCTTATCAGTTTGTCGATGATGGTAGCGGGTAATCTCTGATATTCTAGGCATATATACCATATCCTCTTACATTAGGCTTCCCTATGAAGATGCAGAGCTGGCCTGGTACACTTTTATTAAAGTTACAGCACACCCACTTCAGACAAATTTTACACGCAAAGGCTTCTTGTGCCTCCGACACTGATTCATTGTAAGCACCACAGTCATCATAGGTTCGCTTTCTGTTTCTGACTGAATGGTTTGCCTTCAGTGAGTTGAGGTCAACTACAGCGTCTGTCGGTAAACTAGCTTGTCGACATACCCGTTTTCCTGGTTTTTTGTTTTTGACAGCGGTGTAAAGGAAAAATGATCTGAAAATCCCTCCCGATCACCCTTATTTGATTGTATTGACATTTATTTTAACATTTTTACCCTCGTTATGGATGGTGTACCTTTGACCCTCGCCGGTGTAATGTTATTTGCTTGTTTAACTGTCTTATTTGACTTTACACTCGGTATTTGCCTTTGTATGTTTGAGACTTATTATGAGTGTTTCACTTTCCTATTATGTGACGCTGGACTGTTGATAAGGTGATGTTGTTTTACTGCGCACGACATTTTGTTTTGGTTCAACTTACGGTTGTGCAGTGATTTGACTGTTTGTCTTTTGACTGTCTACTGGGAACGTTTGTTTGTTGATTTGATTCCTGTAGGCAGAGTTTTGATCCCTTTTGCCGGGAATATTCCTATTGACCGACAGGTATTTAACAGTTGTATTTTTTAACCAGTTTTTACCGTGTAGTACGTATTTGTACCCGAGAACGTTTTGGACTGTATAGTTACCCAACGGCACTGTTGAGGTATTTTTGTAATTTGACATAACTTATTGTTGCTTTGATAGTACCACAGATTTTGTTACGAATCTACTATTGAATTACTACAAACCGTGTTTTGATATTTCGATCCAACCTTTGACTGTGCGTCACTCGCGGAAGTTAGGAAGCTATACAGTAGAACGCAGGAACTAGTCAGATTCACGTCAGTTGGCACCGCCTAGCTATTTCCCGCGTTCAGGCCAAGATTATTGGATTCTGGCCGCTACAGTACTCAACAACCCGTCACTGCTGTACCTGGCAATCGCAAGGTGTTCCTTGAGTCAATTCCGGACGGGGAAGGTGACATGTCCATGGATCCGACCTCAGATACCAAGCAAGTCCCTCTTGATGTTATTTCATGCCGTGGCTCTGATAATGGTACAGTTATTGACTATAGTAAGACTAGTCCTTGTAGGACCTCTGCTCAGTTGAAGGTACGACAGTTGGATGAAAGGCAAGAGTTGGAACTTCGTGAATTCAAGGCTAAACAAAGACAGGAAAGGTTGCGTCTGCATAAAGAACTCAACTTAGATGTGAATGGGGGTTTAGGTGATACCTTTTCCTTGGATGATGATATAAAGTGTCACAAATCAGTTTGTCTTGGCATTGACCCTCATAGCAGTTCTGATCGTGAAACGACTAGCCAGGGGAGCAGCGCAGAAAACAAAGGGGTTGCCGCTACGTTGCCTTGTGTCAATGTTGGCCATGAGTTGCCGAAAGTAGAATTAAGCAGCTTTGACGGACATCCAGCCAAATATTGGAAGTTTATGAGGCAGTTTGAGCTCTACGTTGTCTCTAAGGTTGATGATGATGGACAGAGGCTGTTATACTTGTTACATTACTGTAAAGGTAAGGCCAGGGAGGCTATAGAGGAATGCATTATGTTACCACCATCTGCTGGTTATCGTAGGGCTCGGGATATACTCAACGTTTGTTTGGAAGGACTCATGAAGTCAGCCGGGCCTTACTACAGGATCTGATGGAATGCTCGAACATAGAACAAAACGATGCTGAGGCAATGTCGAGGTTAGCTATAAAAATGGAAAACTGCGCTATAGCCCTAGAGCAAATGGACTATACTGCGGACCTTAACTCCTTGAGAACTTTAGAAGGTATAGTAAAGAAATTGCCCCGTGTGTTACAGATGAAATGGGCGGAGACTGTCGAAAAGCTAACTGAAACCGAACGAGAACCTACCTTCGCAGAGTTAACGCAGTTTGTGTCAGCACGTGCGAGCATTTTGCTAAGTAGGTTTGGACAGCTGGCAACAAGCAGTCGACGACCAGATAGTAAAATAGCATGTTCCACGCAGCAGCTAGTACCCGTTGGGGGAGTCCTGAAACCTTCATGTATATTTTGTGGAGGGAACCATGTAGTCACAAAATGTACCACATTTCTGTCGTTACCGGTGGATGAGAGATGGTCGAAGGCTAAAGAAACAGGTTGTTGTTTTTCATGTCTTAAAAGGGGCCACAGGTCCGTAGAATGTAAAATTCACAGGGTGTGCAGTGTAGAAGGTTGTAAAGCATACCATCACCCTCTGTTACACAAGAAGACCCACCACGCCGTAGGCGAACAACCGGAGAAAGGTAGTTGTGGATGCACCGAGTCTCTCAGAGAAAGCGTGTGTTTGGGCCTACTCCCGGTACGTGTAAAGCACGGTAATAAAGAGGTTTACGGTTATGCTATCTTGGACAATGGCTCTGATACAACTTTGATCACGAAAATGTTTTGCAACTTCTAGGATTGTCGACTGACGGCACAAAGACTATCATCAAAACTGTTAGTGGAAGTAGATTGGCGGACTCAGTCAGCAAGCCTTTCGAAGTTTATTCACTAGACGGAAACGAATGCATACTTATAGATCGAGCAGTTGTGGCAAGAGATCTCCCAGTACGGAGACCTAAAGGGTCGATGCGAGAAAGTATTAAAAGGTGGCCGCATCTGACTGACGTACCCTGGACAGAGGTGGAAGACGGGGAGGTATTGCTGCTCATCGGTTGCGATGTACCTGAGGCTCACTGGGTTCTAGATCAGAAGTTAGGGGGCAGAAAGAGCCCATATGCTGTGAGATCATTGTTGGGCTGGGTCGTGTTCGGTCCGACAAGCTTTCGTGAGCACAGGGAGAGGGTTGTGAATTGTATGTCTCGGTCAGATCTATTAGTCGATCAATGGAAGAAAATTTACGATTATGAGTTCAGCGATTTGTACTCGGGAGATAAGTCGTTATCTCTCGATGACCTAGCCGCTGTAAACATAGTGCAGCGAGGTACTTATTGGGATAATGGACATTTCGTTGTCCCCTTGCCCTGGAAAATGGAGTCCAAGAGAGTATACGGTGGATGCGAAGTAGCCAGGCGACGTTTGGAGAGTTTGAAACCAGACTAATATCCTCTGAAAGCCTTCGCGAAAGCTACACTAGCGCCATGGAAGAGACCATCAGAAAGGGATATGCAGCAGTAGCTCCTGAGCCCCAGCTTAATCCTAGCTACCGCCCACGATGGTATTTGCCGCATCATGCCGTATTTAACCCCAAGAAACCGGGGAAGGTAAGAGTTGTGCTGGACTGCGCTGCCAAACTGTCCGGAACTTCTTTAAATGACTTCCTGTATCAGGGACCAGACACGACAGCGAACTTGGTTGGAATATTATTGCGTTTTCGCAAAGAACTGATTGCCCTGACGTCCGATGTGGAAGAAATGTTTATGCAGGTGAAAGTCCCAGAGTTTGACCGAGGTGCTCTGCGGTTCCTATGGTGGCCTCAGGGTGATTTCTCGAAGGAACCTATTGAATATCAAATGACGTCACACCCATTCGGTGCAGTGTCCTCACCGTTTTGTGCGTATTTTGCAATGGCCAAGACTGCCGAGACGTATGCCAACGATTATGATAGCTATGTGGTGGAAGCAGTGAAGCATAACTTTTATGTTGATGATTGCCTAGTGTCCTTTGCAAGCCCAGGTGAGGCAAAAACGTTCGTAAAACAGTCCACTGAGTTGTTGTTACGTGGTGGCTTTAAATTGAAGAAGTGGGTGACTAATTCAGAGGCAGTGAGAGTAGTTCTTCCTGGTCTGAGCCACACAGAGAACTCAGTCGACTTACGTGTTAGTCAAGGCTCAATCCACAGGGCCCTAGGTTTGGAATGGGACACCATGCATGATGTTTTTAAGTTCCGATTTGAACCCGTCGAAAAACCCTTCACGAAGAGAGGACTACTATCCACCGTCTCAGCTCTTTTTGACCCACTAGGCCTCATCGCCCCAGTTTGTCTTCCGGCCAAGCAGCTATTGCAGAATCTTTGCAAATCTCATGCTGGTTGGGATACACCCCTGAGTTCCAATGACCTATCCCTATGGATGGATTGGATGAGGTTCATGAAGAATCTTGGGCAAATCTCCGTACCCAGAAGTATCAAGAAGGAGGATAAGAGTGAGATGAGTAAGATTGAGTTGCACTTATTTTGCGATGCCTCTGAATCTGGTTATGGAGCGGTGGCTTATTCGTGGAACGTTCCAAAAAACACGCCACCCTACAGCATACTGCTTTATAGCAAATCCCGGGTTGCCCCTCTGAAAACGGTGACAGTGCCGAGATTAGAGTTAGCTGCGGCAGTATTGAGTGCACGAATGAGTGAAATTTTGAGGAAGAACCTCCCAAATAGCTTTGACAAGACTTATTTTTGGACAGATTCTATGATTGTTTTGTACTATATTAGAAATACAGAGAGTCGGTATAGTACGTTTGTGGCCAACCGTCTAGCCATTATTCACCAGTATTCATCCCCAAATCAGTGGGGGTACGTTAAATCTGAAGAGAATCCCGCAGATTGGACATCAAGAGGCATACGAAAAGCGTGTGAATTAGCGTCTTGGATTCAGGGCCCCTCTTTTCTGGGAACCCGACAGTTTTCAAGTACCACAGACCTCTGCTGGAAGGAACCACCGAAAAATGTCGAATTGAAGAGGTCGGTCCGAACAAACACAAACGTTACTGAGCTCACTGCTGATCCGATTTTGGCGTATCATTCGGACTGGGTGAGGCTGATTAAAGCTGTGGCATGGCTTAAGAGATATGTGGTCTACATATCCGTTATGTATTCGCGTCGCCAAGGTGTGTCACTGAATGTTGGCTATCTAACAGCCGATGAACTGGAAGCTGCTAGACATAAAGTATTATGTATGGTACAACAGGAGGTATATGGAGAATTAATAAAGGAACTCCGAGAAAAGGGTAGTTGTGAGACTGAAGAAGGTGAATTGCAAAGGTTGTCACCTATACTTGTGGATGGATTGGTCTGCGTCGGTGGGAGGTTGAACTATTCCGACTATCCACTTACTTTTAAGCATCCGGTTATCCTCCCCAGACATCACTTCGTGACTGAGCTGATCATAAGGCATTATCATATTATAGAAGGACATACTGGTACTTCGCAAGTCCTGGCCACTCTACGAAGAAACTATTGGATAATTAAGGGGATCAGTGCGGTCAAACGGGTGATAAGAAAGTGCATAGAGTGCCGACGATTGAAAGCTGCACTGGGTCAGCAGATGATGGCCCCTTTACCGGTCTGTCGCGTGCAGAAAGGATGGAAACAAGTTAATTACTTAGCTGACGTATTTTGGCGCCGATGGATGAAAGAGTATCTACCATGCTTGCAAACTCGTCAGAAGTGGTTGGGAAGGAAAAGAAATTTCAAGGAGGGAGATGTGGTGATTGTGGCCTCTGAAAAAACACCACGTGGTTCCTGGCCTTTGGGAGTGATCGAAACATGCGAGAAGGACGAAGACGATTTAGTAAGAACTGTGATGGTGCGTATGAAGGAAGGTACCGTGAGAAGAGATATAAGAAAGCTTTGTCTTCTTGAGGGAGTAGAAGAAAGATAGAGTATGCAGACAGCTAGGTAGATAGAGCCACGGCTGAATACACAGAGGTGTTTTGCGTGTCTGGAGGGATTTTGGTGGCCGGTGTAAAGGAAAAATGATCTGAAAATCCCTCCCGATCACCCTTATTTGATTGTATTGACATTTATTTTAACATTTTTACCCTCGTTATGGATGGTGTACCTTTGACCCTCGCCGGTGTAATGTTATTTGCTTGTTTAACTGTCTTATTTGACTTTACACTCGGTATTTGCCTTTGTATGTTTGAGACTTATTATGAGTGTTTCACTTTCCTATTATGTGACGCTGGACTGTTGATAAGGTGATGTTGTTTTACTGCGCACGACATTTTGTTTTGGTTCAACTTACGGTTGTGCAGTGATTTGACTGTTTGTCTTTTGACTGTCTACTGGGAACGTTTGTTTGTTGATTTGATTCCTGTAGGCAGAGTTTTGATCCCTTTTGCCGGGAATATTCCTATTGACCGACAGGTATTTAACAGTTGTATTTTTTAACCAGTTTTTACCGTGTAGTACGTATTTGTACCCGAGAACGTTTTGGACTGTATAGTTACCCAACGGCACTGTTGAGGTATTTTTGTAATTTGACATAACTTATTGTTGCTTTGATAGTACCACAGATTTTGTTACGAATCTACTATTGAATTACTACAAACCGTGTTTTGATATTTCGATCCGACTTTTGACTGTGCGTCACTCGCGGAAGTTAGGAAGCTATACAGTAGAACGCAGGAACTAGTCAGATTCACGTCAGTTGGCACCGCCTAGCTATTTCCCGCGTTCAGGCCAAGATTATTGGATTCTGGCCGCTACAAGCGGGATGTTTGAGGGCGTACCGCTGTCACTCTGACTACATGAGTTTACAGGTTTTGGTAAATGCTGCGTCTGGTATGACAGCGACACAGTGATTCTGGATGATATGGGCATTGTCATGCACATCTCTTCTGCACACACTAGTTTCTGTTCGCCTGCTGACCTCGTTATATGAGTTACAGTTTGTGACCAAGTTTGTTGAGCCACTATAGTTAAGTGGCTTAAATATGAGTATAATCAGAGGACGGGTCAACGAAACCGTTAAGTAAAGAGCTTGTCAGCGGGAACTTGATATTCGGTCTTTCCCACTTTATCAGCAGCCTTAGCCAAACACTCCGAGTGCGCATATACAGACCAAAAAATGTTCCTTGGTGAATGATCCCAAAGGCAGCTAAAACTATAGCAGCTTGACGATTTATATCACTACGAATCAACAGCAGGAAGTACTTCCGAGATGGGAGGATAGTTACGTAGTTGTAAGTAGCAGCTCTCGCGTTCAGTCGATCCACTGAGTTGCATTCGCTGTCACGATATGGTTGAAGGCTGTTTTTTGGTGATAAACACTTCAGCATTATCTCTAGATTGCAGAAGAACAAAGCACAACGCCATTCAAACAACACGTTTAACCAGTAGGCCATAGATTCCAATGAGTATTCACTGACTGAAGTTTGTAAGGCAGTGTAGTAAAACTCGCAAACAATGTAACTTAAAGTACAAAAGCTTCATTATGACTGATGAGGCGCTGTATTACCGGCGTGACTCGAATGGGCCGATAGCTTACAATCTGCAGTTTAATGAAACAATTCAGCAAGTTTCAGAAAGTCATAGAAAGAAAAAGGATAAAACAATGACGACTTTCGGTATGGCGGATAATATATTGTGTGGATGCATCTGTGCAAAATAAATCTCTTCTAAGCCATCTCACGCGGAGCCCTCAGTCACCGATTTCGGCCTACACTTCTTTACATGGCACATATTCAGTTAGACCTCATGATCTGGTATCATGCTTCATTTTTACTGTCTCTAACATCTTTTCAGCCTAAACAAACTTTAGCTAGCACTGTGTGGTGGGTAACAGGATGACCAGGCACAGGTAATACATGCCCTAGACATCTGATTCGGTGAAGGCCTATCTCATCAACCGAGTTTCTTCTTCCACATGAAAATTCACACCCGACTTTCACGTTCCTCACGTGCTGACACAACAAACCACGTCATGTGCTGGGAAGAAAACGATGGCTGAACACTCAATGCCTTGACTTGACTGGATGAACAGAGCTTTGGCTTCATAGAGGGACCTGGTTTTTTTTCATGAGGGATCTCCAGAGCACCTGCTAATTAGAACGGTCTCGAATGACCATATAAACTTTTACGAAACCGACTGTAGCACAAATTTCCAAGCGGTTATCGATTGTCACCTACCTCAAACGGTATTTTGATGGGTCCAAACCCCTCATCCTACATGCCTTTTCAAGTGCCTAAAAGCCAATATACGACAAATTTTACTACCTGAATAAGTGGTGCTGATGGCGATAACTCCACTGTGACTTTGTGACCACTTGGATGACGAATACCTAGAGCTGGCATTTGTGGAGAAGTACTAAAATTATCCAGGTTGAATGCTCGACACTCAATGTCCCATTTACCGACTACTTTGTTTCGAGGGTGTACCTCGTGCTTACTTTGTGAACTCTAGAATATTTTTTGCCCTCATTATTTGACGTTCGTTCTGCTCAGTAACGTGAATGTTCAGGACTGAGATAATCACGGGAAAATTGTATATCTTACTTCGCAGATCCAGGCCTGTAGTTTTAGAATATAAGTGTAATGGGCCAATCCTTTTTCAGTGGTTCTTGAAGCATCTCCAGTCTTTCTTTGCACCAATCAACTGGCTTCACGAACACTTCTGATAATCGGTTCCAGGGGTTGGTTACTCTACACGAGGACCAGTACCCTACGGAGGCTATATTCGGTCTTTGGTTTAGCACTCTCGTTTTGTGTCACCTTAGGTGTTCTTATATAATGGGAAGTAAAAAAGAAGATGGATCACGCTTAATATAACTTCTTGAAACCCCATGTGGAGTGACAATACCCTTCCTCAGCCTGAGATAGGATAAAGAGGTGTAGCCCAGCTCCTCAAGTCGTTCCTCGTAGGTCAGGCTATGAGTCGCGGAGATCATACGAGTACTTGTCATCTGGAATCCCTCCCGAAGGTTTCAGTCACCATTCAGACGGGTGTCTGTCGCTTGTACAAAGTTTTCCAACCTATATTTAACTCAAGATCTGTACATGGTGGTGAACATCACCACCTAATTTTGTGGCCGTTGACGTCTTTGTCCCACATGCGTGATTTTAGTGACTGGTCTTACGTAAACTTAACAGGCACAAAATTCAAGGGGGATTGCTTGCCGCTAGGTGCTCATGCACTTGCGTTGTTCAGCATCAGGCGTTCTCCTACCAGGCCTAAAAATAGCCTAGATCTGTCCGAAGCTGACGTACATCCTCGTCATCCCCAATTTTTCGTCAGATTTCGTGAGATCAACCCGGGGAACCATGGGTGATTTTGCGGTTTTGCGTAATAGGGGACCCAGTACAGTGGTCTGCGCCGTTCTCTACCGACTTCCACCATATTGTTTCGGTAGCTCCGATATGGTGATACTCAACAGGCAACACCATGATCATCCCCTCCGTGACCAGATAAAGGGTAGTTACCATCTTAGAAGAAACCATGAATTTCACTTAAATGTTTATAACTTCATCTAACGTTTGTACACAGGTATATAACAAGTGAACACCTGGTCCAAAATCCTCTAATCTTTCTGTTTCGTAGTGACATCTTCGGCTTCAGACCAATTTTCATTGCCGCCGTGCGCGCCTTCATCTTCTTCCACCCAAGCTTACCTCTAAACAGTTGGTTCTGGATATTTCTTCAAGTAAGTTCTGAAGCCACTACAAAGAACTCACCTAGATGTATCACGGTTGATCTACTCCTGCGTATTTTTGTGCTCCTGTTTCGAATTTCGCCTGCTGCTCGCTTTTGTATTTCACTTTTCAGGTTAGCCCAGCCAGTCCTGCATTCAAATGGAATCCTAGAGATCGCATTTGTCAGTATGCGCCTTGCCAGAAAAACCCTATGACGAACGCGCACACCCCAAGGTCATGACTATGATGTGGCTCAACCTTCAAGGATCTAGGAAGATTCAAACAATAACCGAATAATTCCTAATTTTGAACTAAGCCTGCTTCAACACACCTCTTATATGCCACAAATAAAGGTATCTGATGTATGGCTTTACGCTGTACATAAAAGTCATTTCTCTTTGCTAAAATGATCAAACCTGTAAACTGGTTTGCATTCATGTGACCTATGCTGTATGAAATATATATATACATATATAAATATTATTATTAAATGACCCTCACTATTTCTTCCCTACCAACGAAAATTTCCCTAATCCATGGAAGTAGATAGCCATTGATTTCGGAACCTTCCGGTCTCATGAGCAGCCCAGAGTGAGGCAACTTGTTGGAAGCCTCACCAAAGTGTTTAAAAAAGACATCTACATGTGTCCCATCATCCTGAGACTCACTTCAACGTCATCTAGCTGTGAGAAGGTTCATAAGGCAGAAGACACTTCCCCAAGAGGCATGGCGTGAACGAAACAACAGAATGCTGTTTTCTACGTGGACTGCGGTGGCTTTCTTGATTACTGTTCCCAAGATTTTTACTGCAGCACTGGTCAAACTTATTAGTCAGTGACTCGACTAGTGCTGCTTATGACCTGTCTTGTAGATTGGTGTGACTATGGCTTCTCTCCAGCTACTTTGGAGTGAGCCATCGCTGTGGTAGAATCCGAATACGACGGTCACTGGACCAGCCACACAAGGTGCGAGCGCTCTGGGCGGCCCTGTGTGTGGACCGCCTGCTCCTGTCGATTTTTGTGCACTAAGAGTACTTAATGTTTGGAATGGATCATCGCAGTTGATGTCCACAGAACAAATTCTGCTGGACATCAATGCTTCTACCGCCGAACTAGTGTTCTTCGAGGGTCTCTGGGTAAATACTCCGTTGAAACACCCGTCCGCAGTTTAATCGATGGCTTCATGACACTCAGTTAAAATTTTAGTTTACGTGTCCTTGATTAGGGCGGCGATATCACGATCAGTTTTATTCCTATAGTTCGTGTGAGAAAACAGCCTGGACAAAACGTGTTTCAAAGCATATTCAGGGCCGGCGGACGGCTGTGGTCTGCTTGTCCCCGACTTGTTTGTAAAGCTCTTTCACATCCAAAGCAGTAAAGTGAGTGACTGGACCCTAACCCTCTTTCTTGCATCGTAACAGTCTTCAGATTTTAAGATTTCTCCAGGCCGGACAGTGTTGATAAAACCTACGATTGAGTCACATGTGCATAAAACTATTTGAAAGACTGATCTGCAGCCTCAACTAGGGCTTCTGAATTGACTTTCCAGCCCTCCAAGGAGGCTTACAAGGTAACAGTTCCATGTTTGCTTTCTATATATTGGTTCTGGCCAGGGAATGGGTCCGGCAAAAGACGGCTGGTGTGAATCTGAATCTGACCACAGCATGGGCACTTCCACCAAGGCGTGCAGGATGTCGACCGAGACCTAGATCGTCTCCATTTGAGAATGACTGGTCCAGAATTAATAGAATACGCCGATGATCGCTTAGGGTTGCTGCTCTTATGTGCCGTATGCGCCCTGAGGAAAATGTTGTTCCATTAACCCATCATCGAACAGAACATGTGATGATTCTGTCACTAGGCTGCCTCAGTCAACTGATGGGACTCTAAAGCCTCCTACAGTTAGGGATCTGGAATTT